CCATATGACGCTGTTTTCTGATCTGTTATAATGTTTCCTTAACACAAATACACCTGAATTTGTTTAACACATAAATCATACATATTTAGGCTCATTTCTTCTCTCAAACATAAAACACTCTAGTTCACTTTGCGATGTCATGTGGTAATACAGAATCCTCCACAGTGTTTTTAAACTTCATATACACCTTCACTAGAATCATTTGGATGATTTCAGCCCTGGAATTGCCCATCTTTACTAAACTAAAGAAAGGTAGCTGTTTACTTGAAAACTTCCATGACATCACAAGGTGGAAGTGAACATTCTGAGCTTTGGAAATGTAGGCAGACAAATAACAGGTTACTCAAATGTGTGAATGAAACAAAACATAATTCCAGGTGTATTTAGGTAGGTAACAGCATTATAACATGGCTAATACACAAGAGTCAGTTTTGCATAATATAGGACCTTTAAATTCAAGTAAATATCTTTTTTTTTTGTATGGCATAATGCTTTTTTTATTGATTAAAAAACTCTTTATTACTTAAAATAATAGTGTAAAGATGCAAGATAACATTTGTCTATGTGCACATTATAGCAGATTCAGTCCCAAAACTTCTGCAACAGGAACCAGATATTAAGGAAATGGACTTTTCTGGCACCCATAATGTTGTGAAAAATATTTGCTTGGATATTACACACCTATTGGAAGCATTTGACTATATTGACAAGGCAATTGTAGTTTCGCATTTGACGGTGTTAGCCACTATAAAAGCAGTAATCTTTTGCAGATCAACCATCACAACATATGTTTAATTTGTTTTGTGTCATTTTTAACAAGCCTCTAACTGCTCATACTTGGATAAACACAAACTATGTATTTAGCTACATTACCCACCTACATCTTTTTGCTCAGTCTTTTCATTAATTAGTCTCTAGATCCACAAACACACCCGCCCTGCAGATTCAGGCTTAGTTATGTAAACTTTCGCATCTTTCTCACTACGCCACATGGAGCTAATGAATATAGATGTAATGCAGCAGACTCCTGTGGTCATCCTCTTTGATTTATGATGCCAGAGAGTGAGGCTGAAGTTGTGCCAAAGTCATTTTTAAAGGTCCTGTATTACGCAAACTAAACACTTACAAACTGTGTTGTGTATGTTATCATCAAAAACATGGAGCTGTGTTTTGTTTCATTCACACGTGTCTGAGTCTGCCTTTTATTGTTAATCACTGAGCTATTGTGAGCTCAAAATGCTCTTCCAACTTGTGATGTCATGAAGTGGTCAAGTGAACTGCTACTTCTTACATTTAGTTCAGTAGAGATTGGCTATTCCAGGGTTGACATCATCCAGTGTTTTCTAAATAAGCAGTGTTTGTGTGTTATATGTGTGAATGAAACAAAACACAACTTCAGGTATGATTATAACATAGTTCAGAAAATAACAGAAGCTCTTTAAAGGTGCACTATGTAACTTTTCTGGTTGGGATTGTATGGGCATGTATGTTATTGCTTTGTCTGGAATATTCCACAGTCTGACATGAAACTCATCATTTTGTCTCAATTCAATTACAGGTGTCTTTTTTTTTTTAATAAGACCAGTAACTTGACCTGGTAGCATCATCTCCTTTCATCATGGAGATACATTTAATGCCATACTGTGAAATATTTCAGGAGAGGCAATAGCAGGGGCACAGAGATAGCAGGTAGTAGACTCATAAGCTTAGTCTTCCCCTAGGCCAGGCATTTCTACAACAGAACTGATACATTTGATCCTGAATAGCTTCCATCTTCATCATGAACCACCTCCAGCTTTACCACATGCACTTCATCTTCTCTGCATACAAATAATAAAAAGTTAAGTTGTGCAATTGATTACATTTTTGTTTATTGTTTTTTTTTTTTTTTTTTTAAGGAAGGACAGGCAAGTGAAAGTGACCAGTGTTCTGAAACTGGGATCTGTGAAACAAGAGACTGGACAAAGTGACTGCCCCAAGCACTCAGCCACTGCCACCTTTAATTTAATGTGGCTGAAATATCCGGTAGAACAACCTCCAAAAATATTTCTCAAGTTGATATATGTTATTAGCACAATTCATATTTTGATGCTACTACTTTTACTACCCATTTCCATCACATAATTTCCTAACTGTAACCATAATTTTAAAATTTTCTCTCTTTGATACTTGTGCTGTATCAAAATTTGGTGACAAAAATATACTTTTTAAAGGGCCCAAATCAAAACTCAGCTCTAGGTATGTTTTTGATGAGGTAACATTACAACATGGCTTAAAGCTCACAAGAGTAAATTTTACATACTGGACCTTTAATACTGATTTTAAATGTCCATAGAGATCAGTTACAGATGATTAGTGTGGTTTCGAACAGTGAGGAGTGGCTGCTCATCAAAGTGCAGTCGAACTGGGATAGCAGGCAATAAAACAGAAATGTCAGTGCAACAAAACATGAGAGGAATTCACGTTGTACTAAACACTAACACACAGCTCGTACTCAGTAGTTCACACAGTCGTTGCACTTGGGTTTTGTGTGTCACATTTAAATAGTCTATTATTCAGTGTGGAACATAACGTAAAAGAAGGAAAGAAAAAAAATAGTTTTTTTATTTCAGTACATTTTATTGGATACTTTTTACGTTTACCTCGCTACATTTTTAACTGGACTGAAAAGTAAAATTATGTTTTAAGAGTTTGTAGCCTGTTGAAAAGACTGAGAAGTTTATTTTTAACTAATTTGTAGCCTGAACAAACAAAAATATACAAATAAAAACAGCTAGAAAATAACAGGTACTTTTATTTAAGTAGATTTTTTCATGTGATATTTTTGCTTTTACTTGAGTATTTCTTTGGTGCCTTATCTGTACTTTTATTTATGTAACAACATTGAGTATTTCTTCTATTAACATTATCATTATTATTTAAGTATATATCGTATTTAATTGATACTACAGCTCCAAGCTCATTAGTGAACACTGACAAGGCAGAACATGTTTTTTTTATTTATTTATTTATTTCTCAAATCAACATTTTGAGAACGTTTCCTTTTGTTGTACAGATCCTAACCTGCGTTAGTTGCACTTTTTAAAAGGTACTCCATAAAACTTCTCGAGTGGAGGGTCCGTCACCTGCTTGTTTCCAGGCCAAGTTACAGGTCAGATCTGTGGAGAGATGACTCCACTCAGAGAAATAATGCATGTTTTTCCAAGATCTTTTTGAGCAACAGAAACACTCAGTCAAATCATTTCTAGACAGCCAAAGTTCAAAGCCATATTGTTGAACACTCCCGGCTAAACAACGTCTTTATGAAGGCAAGCAAGTGACGAATCCTTAGTGCACTTTTAAATGAAATGTTACGCAACTCAAACCTGTCTTTCCTAATGTCAGCAATCTGTTTTCCTTAAGTTACATGTTGTTCCAAGAAACTTCAACAGAATTATAAAAGCAATTCTCAAAAAATTAAAAACAGCAATTAATAGTGAAATTTTTATTGAACACTAGCTCATAAAGCACTATCTGAGGTGAGTTTGGTCCAGAGCTACAAGTCTGTGATACATTGTTTTGACAGGACTCCAGAGCATTAACATACAGGTACATACACACACACAGTAATGCAAGGCATTTTCTCTAGATGTCTGGTACAGTGGTTCTCAAACTGTGGGACGTTACATGAGATCAGGGTAGTTGTACTCAGGAATGAAAGAGGGATCCCATCAAATACAGTACAGCTCTGTTTAGTCTTTTGTTCTTAGCTCTAAATATTTTTAAAAGGTCTACACAATAGTTTTTGTCTGATCATGGAGTTATGTCCGTATAGTTGCTTTCTAAGAATCACAATTACTCTGTTATGGTATTGAAGTTGAAGCTTTGAATACCAGTTATAAACCATTGTGTTGTCTTTAATCATCCTAATCACTCATATTGTATCCACAGTAGCTGAACCCATCAACATCACAACAATCAAACAACATACATTGAATCATATAGCCATACAGTGCCCTGTATTTACTCAAGTCTTCTACAGGGGTCAGCAACTTTATGGTCATTTTTGAAAACATCTTTCTGTGGTGCTCTATCAGTTTGTTAGTTAGAAAAAAAAAATAAATATACATGTGTTCAGATAAGGAGGCAAGATGTGAGCCATTTAAAAAAACACATACAGATATTAGGGGTGGGGAATTTCTTTTATCTTCTCTCAAAAGTTCATGTTGACTTTATCAAATCGTAACCTCTCTTTGGACTTCCTTCAGGCTTCCAGCTCACTTTCGCAGCTATCCGTCTTATATACGTACCCAAGCCTTCTCAGCATCTAAATCACCATAACATCAAATATCAACATCTACAGAACCCATACAGCATGCCCAATCTTGCCATCATCTGAATATTGCATATCATGGTAAAGAAGTTGGAGTAATGCTTATTTATGGACAGAATTGGTCATTTCACACACAGGTTAAGAAAGGTTGTACAAATTTATCTCAAAGATGCTGACCCCTGGCAATTGTGTGAGTGTGAATCTAGTAAAAGAAACACTTAATACTGCTGTGCACCAACTACTGTCCAGGAAGTGAGTCCGGCTAAAAATAGTGCTCCTGATGTCACACTTTTGGAGATGCACGGATTATGCTCCAGCTGCACTTCCTAACACAGAGACCATGTAGTACACTGGGTCAGTGTTAACACAAAATGCTGCATAATGACTTCACTATAATGCTCTGTATAATGCTACAATTGGTGCCAAAATAGAATTATGTTTGGACTTTTTACTTGTTAGTTTGCATTATTGGAGTCTAATTAGTATGCTATGTTTTTGTTATTGTATTTCAGTTGTTGATTAGAATTCACGTTAACAAGTCTAACACAGATCATTTCTAATGGTGCATTTGCACAATATTAGATTCTGCATTTTACATACAGATGGACCTTGTGTAATAAACCTTCAAAGACTAAACATGGACCATGTCTGACCCAATCCAGCTGGGCGATAGGCCTAGGCTCTTTGGGCTATACTACACTTATTGCTCTAAGGAGGTGCATTGTGGGAAGGGCTTATCGCCAATACTGATCTAAGTGGTGGTCTAGACCAGGGACTCACAGACTGGAGTGTGGTCTGAGTCCTGGCTGTGCATGGAGCTGAGGCCAGTGTCTGAGTCCTCATCATTAGTGCAGGACTTGGACAGTCCTCGGGCCTGTTCCACCCACGTCCCATTGTGGTCCAGCTCTGCTCCAGACCCAACGGTCCCTTCAGACCCTTCAGATCCTTCAGTCCCATTAGCCCTATCAGCCCCTGGTCCCATATCTTGAAGGTTCTTCCCTGACTCCTCCCGGGCCAGGAGATCCAGCAGCTCCAGCAGGTCCTGCTCGCGGCGCTGCCACTGCACTAGACTGGAGTCCAGCTGAGCCCGGGTGGTGTCCAGGTCAGTCTTGAGTCTGAGCCCAATGTAAAGGCTGGTGTCCAACTCAGTTCGGATCCTCTCCTGCTCCAGAGCCAGCTCATTCTCAGAGAGACCATCCGGTTCGGCCACGTCACATGCATGAGCCTCCTCTGTCATCTGTTCTCCAGAAACATCTCCTGGTACCACTTCATCACGCCTGCGCTCCATCCAGCGGTGATTGAGTTCTTCTTGGATTTCAGCAGTGATACGGTCCACGATCTCCTCGCGCTCGGTCAGCTCATCCTGAACCCGCACGAGCTCCTCACAGCAGAGAGCGTACTCCTCAAACTGCGCTAGCGCTTCCTGCACGCTGCGCCGGTCTTCTGCTGTTCCGATCTCCGACGCATCTTGGAGGTACGTGTCCTGGACGTAATTGAGGCCGTGACGCTGCACGCGCTCCAGGTGTACTTTGGCCTCATAACGCTCAATGTCCCGGTCCAACTCACGCATTCGCTGAAGTTGTTGTCGGATGGTGTGGTCTTGGGAGACCACCAGATGGACCAAGGTCTCCATTCGTTCCACTGACGCCTGATCCTTGTTTGCCACCTGTTCTTTTTTCCGGTTCATTTTATCAAGCTTCCGGAAGGCTTTGCGCACCACGCGCCGTTGTTTTTCCTGTGACACTGTGGTCCAGCCATGTCCCCGGGGTCCTGCCGGGCTATCTCTGCTCGGGACCACCTTGGCCTCGGCGCTGCGCGGTCCGCTTGGCAAAGAAGCGTCATTACGCACAAGTACAAAACGTACATTCTCCTGCTCGTCGCCCCACGCCGCCCACAGACGCATCAGGCGCGTCTTGTTGGGTAAAATGCGCTCGAAGCCGCGCCATTTCTCCACAATACAGTAGGACTGCTGTGCGCCCGACAGCCGGGCACCCTGCTCCTCCAGAAGTACACGCACCACATCAGCGCATGTCGTACGGCGTGTGAGCCCCGACACCAGCTTCTCCTCTCGGCACACCCACACCGAGATCTTGCTCTCTTCCTCCATCAGGACCAGGTTCTGGTCAGTGCTCAGCCAGGTTTTTTCTGAGTCCAAAGCTCATGCCCATCCGCTACCCATGCGCTCCATCACTCACATGTCCTTGCGCGCGAGCGAGATCCAAGTTTGAAAACAAATAATAAAGGTGCTGCGGGTGGGTCTATTCTGTGTCAGTCCCGTACAGCATACCCCGTGTCCGTGTATCCTCTGTGTGTCCTCTGTCCCGTTCCTCTGACCGGCTCTTTGATGCCCAGTGAAAAGAGAGGAGCGGAGTGCGTCTTCGCCGTGGGACAGCCTGAGTGAGAGTGAGGCACTGAATAGAAACAGAGGCTGTTCTCGGGGCTGCTGGGACACGCCCCCACACTTCTCTTTCACACACACGGTCCAAGCTCAGGTGAAAACGTCAAGCAGAACTTTCATAGGGGCGTACACATCTTTTCCAAATGCATGCACGCCAGGGTGAAGAGTTCTGCAGCCTTGTAAAAGCAATGTAATGAAGGAAATACTTACTTTGCAAAATAAAAAAAAATAAAAAAATGTCATAGATGTTGGAATATAAATCCAGATCAAACAGATAATCTTGGTGCATCTGTACGTGTCCATATAATTCTGTGCTTTGTAGGAGACCAACCCTGACTGAAATCCATTGTCACATAATACATAACAGAGAGGACATAATCAGCTTTCCGTCCTGGAATATGTCTTGTGTAACTCCAGCGATTGGTGCATTAGTCTCGTGTTTGAGCTGTAGTGTTGACCTCTGACCTCCGTAGACTCCATTAGACGTCTCGTGACTAGCTCAAATGCGTATGTTGCCACAATAAGTGCTTAGAGTGGACGCTGTAAAGACGATTGCATTAGGCTTTCATAAGCTCTCACACCGGTATTACAGATTTAACTAACTACTCGATTTAATATCACACTCACGATACTGTACCATTGGCTTATTATTTTTTGACGCCAAATGCATTTTAAATGTAAGGGTCACTCGTGTACTTCCATGGGGTCTCTTCACCAGTCTATGTCTTTGGTAACGTGGGATAGCAGAGCACTTTATTCCTTGACAATGTCTCCCTCTGGTGGTGTCGAATAATTATGTCATTTCTACTTAGTTATGCTTGTACACTACCAGTTAAAAGTTTGAACACACGTTTTTCAGTGTATTTTTTCTTTAAATAGACTCACTTTCTGCATTTTATATACACACAGAAGACATCAAATAAATAGGCTTATGCAATATATATGGGATTATGTAGTGAAGAAAAAAATTAAATTACTCAAAAAAAATTTATTATTATTATTATTATTATTATTATCATCAAAGTAGCCACCCTTTTGTTTTGTTGACAGCGCTGCAAACCCTTGGCTTTCAGTGATCTTGATGATTTCATATTGATGTTTTCACTTCACAGGCTTTTCAGGGTCAAGAAATGCCAAGAGCAAACCAGGGTTCAAAGCAAAGGGTGACTCTTTTTAAACTGTTTTACTCTAAACAAATTTTTAGTTATTCCGAGTTTATTTTTGTTAGTTAGGTTCCATATGGCATTCGTAGTTTTGATGCCTTCAGTGAAACTACAATGCAAATAATCTTGGAAATAAAGAAAAAAAAAAACATACAAGAAAAAGTGTCTTCAAACTTTTGACTGTTAGTGTAGTTGTAAATGTAATTTACATTTGTAAAAAGCAAAATGTTACAATTAGTCAACTGTCTATGTATAGTATGTAATTATGTATTGTATATTATTAGTATATTAGTGAATGTGCTTTTGGGCTGTGAAGGCTGTATGCAACATTACTGGAAATGAAACAATAGAACACAGTAGCACAGTTTTGAACTGACCATTTATTTCAAGTGAATAGCATATGGGTACAAAGTTTCTACAAAGCTAGAAAATATCTACCTTACCATACTTGTAGCCATGAGGGAGGGGTTACAAAGCGAAGATCAGACCCTGTGCAGTACCAACACACACACCACTAGGCGGGGATTCTTCTAAAGATACTCTCACAAAATTGGATAAACATTAGTATATCAAATATACACAGCATCTGTAATAAAGGTTATTGTCACTTTTATACAAAGCACCATAGAAACCCTCTAGTGCACACACAGGCTGCACTGGGTCCGAATATTCAAGGCCATTTTGGATTTGTGATTACAGACAGGACTTGAACGCCACATTGAGGATTTCAGAAAAGCAGATAAATATGCAGCGGGCACAGACAAAACAGTAACAATACAACAAGGAAATATCGACAACTTCAAAAACAGTTTCACTTTTAAACAGAAAATTAGAGCATCGCAAAAAGATGTAACTGTTGGTGGCTGTCTACATGCTGAATGAGATCTGTATGTTTTAAGACCATTGCTATTAAGGAGTCATTTTATTTTATATTCGGTGCTGATTATCTTCATATTAACACATCATTGCAAATTCATAGTGCCCTTTTCCTCTGTTGATAAAACAATACTTTTTTATAGTGCTTTGAAATGCACAAAACTCTCATACATTTTGTCAAGAATAACCTTACTAACATGACATACTAACTTGATTTTTTACCCAATCTTCAGTGTGGCAAGATGTTACTGCAGTATTGTTTTGGCATTCATTAGCATCCTATTCATAACCTATATAGCTACTTAACACTGTACACAAATCTGATCATATTTTCAAGTAAAAAAAATCTTGAATGGTCAATTGTGATGTAAATGACCCCTTAATAGCAGTATGTAGTGCCAGTGTTTTTAGGTTTAGTGATTTAAAAATGGGAGTCTTTGGTCGGGCAGGTGAAGATAAGAGTCCAGGCTGTCAGCTCAGTCCACTGTGAGTCCCAGCTCTGTGTTAGCTGACGCGATCATGTGACCTCACCACAAACTCCTGCTGCTGCGTGGACCTTTCCAAGAACAACCAAAGCTCGGATTTAGTAGAAACTTCCCCCAAACCACAAACAAATCCAAGAGGAAATTCACGGCTTTGGGGTGGACCGCACTTGTCCACCAGAGGGCCTCAAAGAGCACTTGTAATTTCAACTAAACTTGTGCTTAACATCAAATCTGCTCAGGCTTATGTTTTTCACACACAGAACACATAAGGCTGGCCCCAACACAAACCAATTAGCATGACATTTGTAAAAATTATCTTAGCACTTAAAACATGTACATTTGTCGAATATGTTTTTTAGAATCCCAAAATGACTGCTCCCCTTCAAAGGCACTTCATGCAGCTGAAGCATGTCTGCTTTTTGGTAATTGATAAAAGAAGTCTGTTTGTTTATTTATTTATTTTATTTATTTATTTATTATCAGAATTTGTATTGTTCTTTATATAATAATCTATCAGTTCAAGCTTTGTACTCTTCTTAATTTGTTTTTAGAGAAGGATGGTTAAATTCTGTTTTGGGCAAATTATTAGTGATCTGTATATACAGTATGTTAAAGCTTTATTTCTGTCTGGCATATAAAGTTGATTCATCGATACGCGGTGACTTGTGTCTGTTCTAAATGGGCCTTTCATATTTTTTGACATGTATTTTCCCATCTAAAACAATTTGAATGATACCTGAATTGTTTTTAAATCTCTTAATTACATTATTTTAGATATCTTATTAGAATTAAAATATAGTCTATATGCAACTACTGATAATCCTGTTCAGATGCTTCAATAATTTCAACATACAAGAGGCGGGTAAAATGCGATTCATCTCTTTGGGACAGTCCTCCTTTTTGTGTTAGAAGACACACATTAGTTTCTGTACAAAATCACTGCAGATAGTAGTGTTACTTCTTCTGAATATTGGTGAAACACAGGGTCTGAACTTCAGTGTCCATAGACAGGTTTTTACGCACACACACATACATATATTAGGCCAGTCATGTTTTTCCAATCACCTGAGAGGAAATTCCCAAATAGGACCAAGCCCCAGTGCACCATCATTGAAAGCAAAAATACAAAATGGTTGCAGATTTTGGGGGTGGTGATGTTTTGGACATGTTTGAGTTGCGAATCCTCTTGGTCGATTTGATAGTTTTGCCATCCTGCCATGTCCACCACTCAAACAGGACTATAGGGCAGCGTTAAACAAGGCAGCTGGTTCCTTCACTAAAGTATTTGGCTGAAAGACTCTTCAGAAGGCCATCGTTGAAACATGGGATGGGGTAAGTTTGTGTTATTCCTTGACCAGGCGGTAAATGTGGTGTTGAGCTCCATGTTCATTGTTGGACACTTCGAAAACACAGGCCATGCACAGCAGCGTCTCCTGGGTCTCTCTGTTACTCACCACCTGGGAAAAGCAAGTAAATACTGTTACTAATCAGAATATCCAGGTTGTATTCCTTGTATACACACTTTTATTGCTATTTGCACTTGACAATGACAAACCTGTTCCATTTTGAGGTCAATAGAAGTTTTTTTATATACTTAAAGGTGCATTGTGTAACTTTTCTGGTGACCTGTTTTTCCTGAGGAGATGTGATTGCTTGGTCTGGATTGTTTCAAACCAGATCAATTTACAGGTCAGATCTGTGGGAAGGCAACCCCATACACAGTCAAAATGCCTGGTTTCTGAGGTTTTTGTTCAATAAAACCATCTGTAATTGAATAAATGTAAGGTAGAGCTGTTTAATGTCACACTATGGAACACTCTAGGCAGAGTAATGACATCCATAGAAACAAGTAGGTGACGGACAAAACCAAAAAGTTACATGGTGCACCTTTAATAATTTGCAGTAACATTACTTTTGTTAAACACAGTAGAGGTGTAGATATGGTATGGGAGGGCGTCAGGTTTGTGCCTGATGAAAGCTAGCATCTGTTGGGTGATGTCAAATATAGACAGAGAAAAAAAGGATTTTCACATGTTTAATCCACACATATGGGCCTTGGATGAATCCTGTTAATCTCCTTTTATCATGTGAATGTGGCACTGTATATTGTGTAGCTTTTAAGAGATATATTACCGGAAAAACAGTGACTTCCCATTTTCTAACTGATAAACAGACTGCTCTAAGCTGTATTTTATCTCATTTTTTACATGTAAGAAAATATTTTGCTCTAACAACTTTTAGAACTAAAAGAGGACAAATCCAAGTCTAAACTGGTGTGTACCCATGTCTACAGAAGTTCTAAATGAGCACAAAAAAGAGGACAAAACATTTCCGTGATCTCAAATGAATCATGCAACTGCAGAGGACCCAAAGTTCATCAAACGCAGTAACATAAGGGCAGGCAATTAATCACATTCATTTAATCAATTCATGTTTTTAATAATCAAAATTTGCAAAATCATAAAATCGAGGATTATTATAAAATGGCTTTACTCTGACTTTCTTACTTGTTATGCATGTTATTGTGCAAGTTTAAAAAAATAGTCTCATTCTAATTTAAACCATTAAAATTAGATGACATATCTATTCAAATATAATTGAGGCAGAATAAAATTAAAATGCAAAGAGCGTCCCTATTTGAAGGATTATAGTCACTGCTCTGCTCGTACATTTTTTTGGCCATGTCACCCAGCTCAAAAACTACTACTCGTACCACAATTTAAGACACACTAGCTTAGCATATACTTTTAAAAAAACAAAACTGCTTAAACTACATTAATAGTTTCCTTACCAGCAGAATAGTGAAGTTCTCAAGCACACTGTTCATCATGTACTTCTCGGGCAGGTGCTTGAGTTTGTGGATGAAGTTGATCATGTATTCACACATCGGGGAGCGGCTGATTCTGTACACGAAGCGGCCATTTTCAAAGCGGGCGTACTCCGTCTAAAATAAAACAACTTAGTATCTACAGACCCTTGTGGTACCTAGACCTGTCAAGATAATTACTATATCGACTTATCGTTCAATATATGAAACCTGGGGCAATATATTTTAAAAACTGGTTGACTGGAATTATCTTACATTATTTTTATTGTGTCAGTGATCTAAAGTAATTTGAAAGGTGCATTGTGTAACCTTTCTGGTGGAGGGTCCATCAAATGCTTTTCTCCATGGAAATGTTATTGGTTTGTCTTGAATGTTTCACAGTATGCTAATTAAACCTTCCTATTTACATGGAGACCAAACCAGACCCAGTTACAGGCCAGATCTGTGGAGTGGCGACCCCACTCACAGCCAGAAAATGTTTACTTAGATAAAATGTATTATTATTTATATTTTGGGGTATTTTTGAGCTATAAAACCATCTGTTATTCAATAGGCAGAGGTGTCTAATATCACACTATGGAACATTCCAGGCAGGAAAAAAGACATCCATAGAAACAAACAGCTGATGGATAGCAACCAAGAAGTTACAAATCACACCTTTAATATTATCATTTATTGTTATATTTCTCTGTACCAATATATTGTGTGTCAAAAGTTGTTATCGTGACAGGCCTAGTGGCACCTGGACCATATGATGTGTAGTTGTAGAGACCATACCTCCACTTTTTCCACCACCTGTTTGCCAAAGGAGCAGACCTTGGTGGAGCAGGTGATGGTCATATTTTCGGAGCTCTCGTACTGACTGGTGACGCCATAGAAGGCTGCTGGGTCGTCCTGTACGTTATAGTTCAGATCCGCCTGGAGACAACACAGCACAAGAATTATTAGTGACATGTTTTGATCACTCTTTTGTCTGGGACTCCACTGTGAATTGGACAATTTTTATGTCAGATATCCTTTCTGTCGCAAAGATGACAAGTAAATTATATTATAGTAAAATATTGTGACTGTACCGAACTCCCCACCTTCAAGAAATTGCTCAAAACCCATCGATGTAGAACCACTTCTAATGCCTAACCTGCTTTTATAATCATGCCTATATTTTGTCTGATTACCTTGATTTTATGTATGCCCTCATTGGAATTGTGTTCATTGTGTTTAGGAAAGCATTATATAAATAAAATGTATTATTATTGTCTTGTATGAGGTGTGAGATACACCATATGTTGAAAAAATTATAATATAAAAATTGTTGTTTTGGAGATTTTCAAAGGATGCAAAAAGAGCTGTTAAGAAATAAGCAAACTCATACAGCAATATGGAGCAGAAAATATAAACTGCCTTAATATCCTTGTGTGAATGTAAGTCTGTCATAATTGTTTATTTTTTACATTTAAGTTATTACTACTACTAGAAGAACTACTAGGGCTGTTACAATTAATATCTCATCAATTACAAAAAATACCTAAATAATCAAAATTATTGCTAACATTAACTCTTATGTGTGTTCAGTGCACACCTTGAGTAGAAAAATTGCTCATGGATTGTATCTTTTTATTAGTAGGTTTATTCCTGTGAGATAAGTTTTATAAAGTTTGTCCTCTTCATTTAAAACGCACTGACTTTGTTTATGCAAATAATCATTTGATTAGCCATGATTTCAGTTATTATTTAAATAATCATGATTATTAGGGATGTAAAGATATCCAAAGCTCTCGGTACGATATTATCACGATGTGCATCTCACGATATGATATTTTTGTGATATTTTGGAAAGGCTGATATTGGAAAGACTGATATTGGATGGGACACTTTTTTGCTTTTAAAATACCCCGACAAGATTTTGGTGTGAATTATTACTGTCATATCGCATGAATTCAAGTAAAAACATATTTCTTCATGTTGTCTGCGCTGAAATGAATCACGGGATATGTAGTTCCCAGTGTTTATTAGCTATTGCTATTATAAAACCACACATTTAAGCAAAGGAACTTGTAATTCGATATATTGTGACAGCCCACGATATTACTGTGAGGCTTTTGACAATACGATATCATGATATTTTGGTTATTGTTACATCCCTAATGATTATTATTTTGTCCATAATCAAGTAGCCCAAACTACTATGATGTTTCTTATTACATGTCTTGTACATTACAGGTGCCTTACTCCCATAGCTCCATGTTTATCCAGAGGAGTATTGATGTTAGCGGCTAAGAGCTGTATTCGTGTGATCAGAAGCGCTCTAGTGCAGAGGGAGGTGTGTGAGGTGTGAAGAAAGAGCAGTGAGGTGCGATGTACAGGTGAGGCCCGTGAGTCAGGGGCCGAGCAGGTGTTCAAACAAAGCACAGCGCAGACACCTTTACTTCCCAGGTGATGCACACACACACACACACACACACACACACACACACGCATTATGCACACAACAATACAAAGAAGCAGAGGGAGAATGAACGGAAAGAAGGGACTGAAAAGAGGAAAGGCCCTTAGTCACAAAGTTCCCAAAGCAATAGGAGGAAAATGTTTTGACCTGGCATCTGGAAAAATGACTTCTACCAGAAAGAAGTGAGCAGTCAAAGTCACAGTTGACAACAATGACAGTGAAGTCACATTTACAAGCGTTTCATCACAAATCATTCAAAGTAACAAGGTATTTTAGACTTTCTTATAACAAAATGTCTTATAAAATATTCTGAATTCCAACAAAGCAACTACACGTGGGCATACATTGCACACTGCACTGCATATACATGTTGTTATGGTAATTACAACATTTTATTCTGAGGCTGTACAAAATGAGAATATTACCAAAATTTTTTTTTTTTTAACTATTGCTGAGTAGATGATAGCTTGAACAAAATATTTTGGGGCTCAGTATGTATCATGGGGGGAGATTTGATTGGTTCAGCTGCAAAAGGTTGAATAAGTTATATGTCTAATTATTAGTACATTCATGATTTTTGAATAACGCTGTCTATTTAAAATTTTACTGAGATTATCTTGCATTATCTTTATTCTATGATTTATCACAGTATATCTCTGTAGCAATAAACTGTGCTTCTTTTTTTTTTATTGTGAGGTGATATTCCTGTACTTGTGTTTGATTTTACAGTTCATTAAGATTTTGTGCAATACTCAAAAGCAACTAAAATATACAGAAGCACATTGGAGCATGTTTCTATAAAAAAAAAGTATATGAAACTTGTCATTATTGTCCATGCCTACAGGAGACGTTATGCTGTTTGTTAAATAGGTAGTCTGGTACAGTTTTTCAGCTCTGGGGAGGTAAACAAACACTTCTAATGGTAATTGTGTAGAACTCCAAAGAATTGACATTGCTCTCTGGTTATTTTGAGCAAGTGTATATATTATTTTAAATGGAGCTCAATGGGATTCTTCAGCCTTCAGCATTGTACTTCCTTTTCACAATATATGAACCGAACAAAGCTCTTTGTAAACATCCTATTGATATTTTGCATTGACCTCAAACTGCTGGTGTTGTACATGGTCACACACATTATCAAACACAGACAAAAAAGATTGTCTGAAAACTCAACTCAAGAAAAAATACTAAATGAATTGAAACAGCACATTTTCAGGAGTCTGTGATCAATATGAGTGTTCATGGTCCAGTTTAGGAGTTTGATTTTCAACAAAAAGGTGAGAGTGACTAAATGAAATAGCTTGTGACTGAAATTTTACAAGTGAGAGACTTAGTTTAACAGCACAAATCAGCTCACCTGTTATAGTACCAACTAAGTCAGTTCTTTATGGTCATATTGTGTTCAAACAAAGCTCAGTTTAAAGACTAATTTGAGTAACAGTGCTTCAGTTTCAGTAGCGCCTTCATTTAGCATCACATCCTCAGGGAATGTTGATGATAAACATCAGCTGCAAAGTATCAATATATTTCCATTTGCTTGTTTATATGATAACAGAAATATAGTGGTATGTGTCAGTATTTTGTGCAATGCTCACCCAAAACTTGATCAGGTAGAATGCGTTCTGTGGGCCTTTGCTGAATAGCTCCTTCAGGCCTCCTTTCTTCTCAGGGAACTTATCGTAGATTTGTCTGATGTCCACGCACTCCAGTAGGGGGTCGCTGTAGCTCGGGCTCGACTGGCTGATGTGCACAAACAGGTGCTTGTTGTACTGAGGAGAGAGAGAGAGAGAGAGTTAAGAGTGGGAAATGAGATGTACTGTATATCTATAATAGTCAGTTGGTTTTTAAATTTTATAAGGACCCTTGAATCTCAAATAAAGTTTAAATAAAGTAAATATTAATGTTATAGTTGGGCCCGGTCAAGCAGAAGTAAACAGCAAGGCCAAAAATTCAAGTTAATGCATCTGATATAAAAATGTATTCAACAGATACATATGTACTCTAGTTTATGAAACTGTTTACCTTTTTTCTGTACCATTTTTGGTTCTAAAGTTACATACGTTTTAAACATACCATGTATGCAACATGGAACAAAAATTATTTCCCAAATTTCAAAGACCTGCAAATCATGTAAATAAATTCATGTATTTCATCATATCTTGTGTTATTCGATCTTTGAACTGTTGATGAAGGTATACGATTTAAAAAACAATTTTTTAAAAAATGTATTTAAAACGAAAAAAATTTGCATATATTGCACTATATTGACATATTTTATAGAAATAGTTACCTTTCATTTTGAAGTAATATTAAAGTATTCGGAAGAAAAAAGCTGACAAATTATGCAAAATCCTGCACCTTCTACTTGCTTGCACAATTTTCCCTCCATTACTTTTCCCTCCGTTACCATGACCTTTCTTAATAAAAAATCTCATTACTCAAAAAGTAAGAGGTTTTTCAACCTAATCTTGTACCATATGGTAGAAAACTATATTGAAGCAAATATTCAAACCAGTTTGTTAAGGATATGTAAGTGAGAACCGCTAGTTATCACTGTTTGTATTTATTGCCCAAAAAGTGCTGCATATTTCATTCCCTCTGTTACCAACATGTGTTTTTTAATTTTTTGTCAGCAACTTGAAAGAATATCACAGGTTTAACTTTACCCTGTTGGAGTGTTAACTCTTTCCTACATTCTAATACCTTACTTATTTCAATAGTCCCTCTAGTTTCTGAATAAGAGCTATTTGAATATAAAAAATCTGCCTCCCTGTTTCCCTCCGTTACCGCTTGACCGGACCCAGTTGTTTCCTTTTCTCATTTACCCTCTTAAAGTTGTATACACGTATTGAGTGATTCGTGCATGTGTGAGAAATCACTTATTTTCAAGCCGTCATATTGCTGGTAAACTCCTATTTTCACTGCCATTGGTATACACTGCCCTGTACTCTCTTCATTCTCCTTTTTTTTTTTTTTCTTAATCGGTGCTACACATAGGATTTGGCTGTGTCATGTAGTAATTTTGGTAAAAATGGGTAAAAAAAATCTGCTTCTCACTAGTGTGATCTGCAGCTATCTATCAGAGTTGCCAATTCATGGTTGTGATGACGTTTACAGCGACGTAAGCTCCCAATGGGCACAACAGTTTTCTAACAGTCAGCGGGCTTGTTTCTTTTATTAAATCGTTTTAGATGAATATTGCAATTTAAAATGTGCAAATTACAACATAATGATCTATGGGTGTTGCAGATTATAACTATATGCAGGCTCAAGCACACCATGTCTTTTTTAACTGTATGTATGTATGTATGTATGTATGTATGTATGTATGTATGTATGGATGGATGGATGGATGTGTGTGTGTGTGTATGTATGTCTATTCCTCAATATATAAATGCAAATAAGCAATAAATGGATATTGTCTTACACATAAAGCTGTGGTTCTCAAATGGTGATGAAAATGGTCTGTATAATTTATTCAAGTAGTTTGAAAAAGAAAATTATTCAAGAGCCAAACTTATAAAAATCCATGACAGGCAGTATACATTATCACCAGTATACAACACTGATATTTAACAGTCCAGCATCTTGTTTGTATTTACACTAAAGAAGCGGTGCGCTGCTATAAAAGAGTATAGGTTGTTCACTGTCCGCACAAAGAGCTACAAGATGAATGGCAGCTGTCGGCGGGTGAGGCTGAGCGATGACACTGAGCTGGGTACTGGCGGGATGACTGATAGACTGGGCCCAGCCGAGATAGAGCTTTACAAAGGTTATCCACACTCAGGGCTGCTCCGCTCTACAATCCTATCTGTCATCTGTGTTTACACCATAAACCAGTGTCCATTGTGTGTCTGTGTGTGTATGTGCTGGTCCTTACAGCCTCCTGCTCCCTCTGACTCTCCAGGAACGAGGAGAACTCCACCAGTCGGAGTTTGTTGGTGCCGATGGAGCGGCCCTGCCACGCTGGCTCTCTGTGCGTCTGGGCGGCAGCGGGAGGTTCGTAGCCTGCACCATGGTCAACACATTAGCAAGCTTTCAGTTTTTCATCGCTGTCTATTTCACTTTTTCACTATTTGCATTGTGCAAATTTTCTGGTGGAAGGTCTGTCTCCGTGGAGATGTTATTGCTTTGCCTGGAATGTTCCATGGTATGACTTTAAACATATACATCTAGCATTTACTTATTACAGGTGTTTCTTTTGCTTAAAAATACAATAATTCCTTCTGTGAATAGGAGCGACTCTAGACAAAGCAATAACATTTCCATGGAGACAAGCAGGTGGCAGACTCTCCACTAGAAATGTTACGCAGTGAATGAAAAAATATTTGGCAAGACTTACAATATTCAAAATCTGAACTGCTTTTGTAAGTAAGTAAATTATATTTGCATAGCACTTTTCACAGATTAAAATCACAAACGCAACATAGAGCACACGTTATGAAATAGATAATGAAGTTGTTTCATGTGTAAAAAGCACATCACATCATCATCAGCAACATTTCAGATGCCATTAAACAACTCCCCCTATTGGTAAAACTGAGTAAAGGCATTTCCTTCACACATTACCTAAATACAAAGTTGTCTGCTTTAAGATTGTACCGTACAAGAAATGTTCCCAAAATTTAGCAAAAAGGTTAAAACGGCACAATTGTATTGAGTTTTTCATCATCAGTCTAAAATCAAATATATTTTTAAAGTAAAATAGTAAAAGTAAAAGTAAATCATAAACCACAAAAACTATTCTAAATCTACAATACTGTAAAAACCATGAGCTGTAATAAATAAACACCAGAATGAAACAGTGTAGTACTTAGTTTGTAAATATAAGTCACAGAAGTTATTAACTCATATAAATATTAACCCCAAAAATATACTGCTCCAGCTTTCATATATTAATTCATATATTAATTATCATGATATGCCTACAAAAAGTCTGGCTAACTCTGTTCAGCTTCAATGCTACTAATGTATCTGACCACATACTAAAATGAAACCCCATTGCTTGCGCCCTAAAGCCATAACTCACAAATAATGACATCACCTTTGCTACAGAGTCTTATTCCTCTGTCTATATTCACTACCACAGACCAGGATCCTGCTGCTCACACAATAAACCTCCCCATAGAAGACCTGCCGCCCTAATGGCTGCCCACAGTACTGCGTGTTCACTCCACAGAAAGGAGATAATGATGATCCAGTGGTCCTGCTCACCTGGGATGGTGGTGGTCCCTGCTGTCTGAACGGGGTAGGCTTGCTGTGAGAAGGGCTTGATGCTGTGAGAGTAGCAGACAGACACAGGCGTTACAAAGAAAGCAGTGGTGACATTATACTCTACAGTCTTTTAAAGTCAGACGGGGACAGTGGCGACGGCGCAGGGGTCAAGAGACACTGAATCGAGTAAAGCAGACCTGCTCTATTTCCTATCATTATCATTTTCTCCATCAGCTCACCGCAAGCTCATCTCCACCATTGAGCTGGAGTGTATAAGAGAGATACAGAACAATGCAGCTACACTGAAGCGTCGCTGGCTATTGACTTGTCATAGAGTTAAAGGCAGCAGGGTAGTGGCCGTAAAATGAGAAATTACTTCATTTTAAAGAAATCATGTGGGATCTGTGAAAAATAAGTAATGTCTCACTTTTTAGGACAAAGGTTTTTACTATAGCCTCATGTTTTTAGTGTGTTGTTTTGGCAGCTTGTTTGTTAAAGGTACATCTGTAACTTTTCTTGTGGAGGGTCCGTCACCTGTTTCTCTCCATGGAGATGTTGCCTGGAATGTTCCACAGTATGGTATTACACTTATTTATCTCTATGGTGACAGCAGGTGACACCACGGGGCCAAGTTACATGTCAGATCGGTGGAGAGGAGCGCTCACTCACAGTAACAATGCACATTTTTATAAAAATTTAAAAAAAACATGTTATTGAGTGAATGTAAGAAGGAAATTATAGCTAATATTAATTTCAATTTGTATATATATATTTTTGGCTGTTCTGCAGCATTGTGAGATACTGCCAAATACAAATGCAGGCCACAAGGGGTCAGTAAAGGCAAATATGTTTATGGTGACTGTAATTTAGTCCTAAACAAGAAGACCACTTGGATACCATTGCAATATGCAGCCAACGCCAAAGTCTCAATGCTTCTATTAATTAGTTTTTATTTATTTATAATTAATTCATTGGTGTATTTACAAAATTAGACTAGAGCAGATTGAGTAGTACAAAAGAAAAAAATACCACACACTATTTATCTACGATCTTCCTCTATCTGTGTAAATAAAAGGTCAATGTGACTCACTCTTCTGCAGTGGAGCTGGACTGTCCTCCGGGGATCATGCCCTGCCACAGCTGTAATTGAATACACACATACATTAGCTTAGCGACACGTGGCTAGGACAGAGCAGCTGTATGTGTGCAGGTGTAAGTAGAGGTGGGTGTAGAGGTGAATGTGTATGTATGTGAGAAGGTGAAGGTGGAGGTGAAGGTGGAGGTGAAGGTGGAGGTGAAGGTGGAGGTGAGTGTGGAGGTGAGTGTGGAGGTGGGGTTACCTGTGTGTTGCCGGGGAAGCTGGCCCTGACTATGCCGGGCAGGAGTTTACTGTGGATGGCTGTGGCTGAGACGATCTGGGCAGACGACATGGAGGAGATGCTCTGAAGGGCCTTCTCCTTTGCACTCTGGTCCTGTTGTCAAAAATAATGACCAATCATTATTAGCAACTTGTATTATAATTTTCTTGATATTGAATACATGTACATGTATAGTTATGTATTACAATTCAGAACACTTGCACAGACAATAAAGTGTTCAGTAATTAATTAAAAATGGGGATGTCACTATCTGGTGTATTATTATCGGAATTAAATTATCTTAAAATAGTTGTGACAGTTTAAACCTATATCCCAAAGCTATATTATCCATTTTAAAACTGTATTTTGTATGTGGCTGTCACATTAACTTTACTTTAACATTCAGATAGCTGGATTTAATGAAGCTGGATAGATTAATAAAGCTGGACTATATACAATAGGAGACATAAAGACACGATGGAAATGAAGGAAAGATTTCATTATTGTTTGGCCTTGGTTTAAAAAAAATGTGAATTTTTACACAAAAACTTTATATTGTAATACAACCCTAATTACAAATCTTTTCGACAGTTGTCAATAAAAACAATGAAGATAAAAATATGTTTCCTGTTGTGGCAGATACCAGAATAATCATTGGACACAGTGACAGGTGTCCAGACAGAGCCTGTCCTGACAGCAGCCCTGCCCCTGCCAATGACACGCACTGACACAAACCAGTCAAACATGAGGACATATACACTAATGTATTTGGGCTGGGTACGACCATATTAGATGCAAATATGCAACTAAACCTCCAGCAGCAGAAGCCACAGCACTGCAGCTCTGTCTGCTGAAGAAACACTAATTGGCAGTTTCACTCAGTTTAATTGGCACAGAGTAATACCTCCTCCTGGGAGAGATAATAACATTATACAAGGGCTGACATGAATGGAGTTTTATTATAAAAAATATTATAATGTGCTGGGTTTTAACCAATAACTTCACTCTTTGGCATTTCATTTAAGGACAGGCCTCGATAATTAAGGGTTAGACTTAAGGTGAGAAAAGTGCAAGATCCAGAAGTGGATCCACAATTGGTATTATAATGAGGCATTTTAGATATCTGAGAGATAATTTACACCAGATATTTGATTGTGGAATATGGAACAAGGAAAAATAAAATAGCAATTTAAAAAAAAAAATTTATCCCTAGGTTCCTTCTCATCGTAATCTAAGGTCTATCAGTATCAATTTACTGACCCAGCCAACAGACTACAGCTGCTTAGACCTGTTGCCCAGCTCCCATTCCCCTTGATAATTATGTGTGCCTGGACAATAGGGCTATATAGAGCATTTCATAGCTATCAAATGCTTAACTGCACTGTGTTATGTAATCCTCTATTAGCCATAGAGATACAGTTGCAAAGAAGCCGTCTTGAAGAACCATCTGTCATTTGTTTTATGACGGCAAACATCACCGCAGTCCGGCTCTGTGCTCCCATTCAGCTTTCCGAGCACTCTTCCCGGAAAACAAGCGCTCCTTTGTTGCTTTACACGAAGTTAATTACAACCAACAGAGAGGAGCGAGAGAGGGAGCGAGGGAGGAGGAGAGAGATTAATAGACTGGGAACAAATGAATGGGATGTATAGACATAAGAGGATGACAGGAAGACGGGGAGGGGCCCATAGGAGGTGGAGCTGTGTCTAAAAATCTAAACAGGGCTAATTAGACACCTAGGATACAAGGACCGCTGTGACAGGCATCCATCCAAGCCAGGAGTTAACAAGCAAGCAGTGGGTTCAGGCTGCTCTTGAGCCAGTACCACATTCACTCATTAAGTTTCCATCTGGTATTAAAGCAGGCCACATACTGAACAGTAACTAGGCTTTTGCCCTAATTCTTGCCTAGGCGACAATCCATGAACAGCGGTAATTATTGTAAGGGTTGTGCAGATTATCTACAAACATGTTGTTGTGGGCTGAGTCGCTAATAGAGAAAGCTACTTGTGCTAATGAGGAATCGGTGGTTGGTGCTGGCCAGAAGCTGTAGTGTATTCACGTTGTTATGGAGAATACATGGCTTCAAAACTTGTAGTCTTATTATAAACCTATTCTATCAAATCATTACTAATTACATAAATGCTGTATTTTGACTGACTAGCATAATTATTACATTCAATTATGCTGCCAGTCAAAAGTTTGGACACGCCCTCTCATTCAATTATTTTTTTTAATGAGTATTACTTTATACATTAAGTAGAAAATAAATGCTTAAAGTCTTCAAAGTTGCCATCCTTTGTTTTGTTTATATTTAGTTATTTAACTTTACTTGAGACAAAAGTCCATATGTCTTTCCTGTGTTTCTAAAATGTAGAAAGTAGTATATATATATATATATATATATATATATATATATATATATATATATATATACATACACATATATATTGAATAAGAGGGTCTGTCCAAAATTTTGACCGGTAAAGTACATCTTGTGAACATGTAATAATCAAAAATACCAATATTTTATATCAAATATTATTGCTGTTATTGTCTTTTTTCCATGTATTTTACCATCTGAGCAACATTTACTTTTCAGAGCATTTAACTGTGTTGCAAAGATGTTGATGGTTAATTTTTTTTTTTTTTTTTTCAATCATTATGATCTGGTGTAGCTGGCACTTTTGACAGTATGCTTATCTACAGCTGCCATTAACCAAGTTTCAAGTTTTTAATCAACTAATACTTCTAGTAAACAAACAAACAAGCAGGTCATTCACATTCACAGCTAATGTGACTGACAATAAATTTGCTTCTAAAATACAGCCACAAACTGGCTTAAATAACAGTATATAGAACTGAATCATTTGGATATTAATTTGCAATAAACTTTTTGGCAACATACCACCACCACATTCACATTGAGCTGGTGTATTTGGCACTCAAAGTATCTGTTTACCACATTCACCATTAGCCAAACTCCACTAATCAACTCCAAATGCACAAACATGACTTCCTGTTCGTGGAAATGGGAGTAAACACTTTAAATGCCCGAGGCTCTCTCTTCACACTTCCTTACCTTTAGTTTGGACTGAAATTCCCGGGATTTTCTTCTGGCTAAGACCTGGATGTGACTGGATACCTGGAAGAAAGCAGCAGTGAGGGAGAAGGGAAGAAGAGGAGGGGAGAGGAGACAGGACCAAACACTGAGTTGCCATGGTTATGAAAGGCGGCTGCCACACAAGGAGGGCACACACACACTTGTCCTGACAACAGCGCGGAGACAATATATGACATCTTCAGAGCAACAATGATAGACAGCTGGAAACACGGGGCAAATACTGTCTCCCACATTACAAGGCCAGGTAAAAATACATTATGACAGTTTATAATATCTTTTTCAAAATGCTCTTGGATCCTGTTAAATTGTAGGTATAAAATGCAACATCATAAGACATGCAGTTTATTTGTATATACAGTAAAAGGGATAAGAAGGAAATGTTACTCTTTTATTTAGTTTGAAATATAGTAAATGTCTGATGCTTTTTAAATGTCCTATTTTAAGCTATTTTATAATGTTGTTACCTCCTCAAAAACATACCTAGATTTGTGGGGGTTTTTTTGATTCACACATGTCTGACTAACCCTTTATTATTAGTCTGTCTACATCTCCAAAGCTCATAATGCTCTGTTCCACCTTGTGATGTCATGAAGTATTAGTTATCAAGTTCCTTTTACCTTTTCCTCAGTCAAGAGTGGCAGTTCCATAGCTGAACTTATCCAGTGATTATAATGAAGATGTATGAAGTTAAAAATACAGTGGAGCACTTCCTGTATTACTACGACATCACAGGGTGTAACAGTGTGTTTTCCGTTTGAGAGAAGAACTGAAATGTGGAGAGTTTGTGTGTTAAATGTGTGTGAACAAACAAAACACATTGATGAGGAAACAACATTATAGTCTAGATCAGAAAACAGAGTAATATGGGCCCTTTAAATAGTTGGATACTTTGATACTGTGTGAAACATTTGCTTTAAAATATAGTATTTGTATAAAATATGCACAGTAGTGAAGTCACTCATCTTATTGTACAGTCTTTCTCATAAGGGGCAGTGTGCAGCACACTCTTCACAGGTACATTATATCAGTATGACATTTGATGGCTGCAGCAGACAGACTGAGTGTGATTGGATGTCACTGTCCTCCATAGTTACCTGTTTCCTCGTGCGCGTTTTGCCCGTCCGCAGCTTGATGTATCTGGCTATCAGCTCGTTCCGACCTGAGGGAGAACGATAGAAGAACCGAATTGAACATTAATAATGCTGCTCTCAAACCCTCCAATAAAAAGCAGTGATTTCAAGCAGACAATCACAGCACAAATCATATGACCTGGCAAACAACTTAGCGCCTGATTTAGCGCTGTTGACCCCGCGACCCCGTGACGTGCCGTTTCACAGAGCAGCGCTGTAATCACCACTGCCCCTGTAGAGCCCCCCCATACACACACACACACATATACACACACAAGCCTGAATACACAGAGAGCAACAATACCGGCATTCACGCAGACTGACCGTCCCCTGATTAGAGGACCCAGCAGGCCAGCTGTACCCATGCTTATGAGAGCGCACAGGGACGAGCGCGCACCCACACACACACACTTCCACTGCTGAATAATTCAAGCCATTCAATAGGGAGCAGAGCAGACTCAGCATGACCTGGCGAGTATAGATTAGTGAGCTGCAGAGAGACAGGAGAGAGACGAGTAAAAGAGCCAGGCCACAAAACCTGACGCTAGCACAAAGCATGAGGGTCCATATGTAGCGCTGGTTAGCAGGCGTGGACAAATCTGCACCTTAGTAGTGTCGTATATGTTGCAATGGATCAAGAATTGTAAGAAGAAAAAGTTTGCAATAACTTTTGCATGGGACTGCTTAGAGAGGCACCCATGTTAAATAAAATTAAAATGACTACTTTTTATGCCAGTCCAAAGCCTGGATAAATGTAGAAAATATAACAAAATGCAAATATCACAAAGGGATTACTCAAATTTAGCCTAAAAAGTAATTTATATGTCAACATAACAAACCCTAAATATTAGAAATGCAGCGTATCACTATTCCTTGTAACAGTATGTCAGTAGCATGATGTTACAGTAACATGACTAAGACGACACCATTGTTTTCACAAGAATGAATATACAGCACAGCAGGTGTCAGGGTACAAATAAACCCAGGGGCATTTCAAGGCTACGTGCTTCCTGCTGTTCAAGTACCCGGCTGTGGCTGGATTCTGTTGCCATTGGTGAAAATGTGTGTGTTTTTTTTTTCATCCCAGCGATCACATTGCATCAAACAAAAGACAAAAAGTAATTGTCCAGCATTTGGATTCGTTCATTGTATTCCCCTGGGAAACCCGCTGCTGAAGAGCACATCCAGAGCACTAAACCTAACTGAAGTCATTTGTGTACATTCACAGTTCTACATGTGTTTATTTTCTGAATGCTGCTGATGAGCCTGTTGTGGCTCTCATGCTACATTTACTTTGGTTTGGTTTGTGTTTTCACTGCGTTCTGTTCCGACCGAGTGGAAAACCAAAGTCAGGCCAGCTGGCCAACTGATGGTCAAGATCAGCACAAAGCCAAAACCTCTACTCCGCTCTCCCCCCTGCATCCCCTCCTCCCCCTCTCCCTCCCCAAACCACTCAGAACAATGGCCCTGACTAACAGCAGATGGTCAGTGTGTCCCACTCTCGCTCAGATAGGGGGCTTACACCGATAACATCTCCAGCTCCCGTGCAGGTGTTTTCCTCCTAGCAGTCTGACGCTGCCACTGTCAGCGCACACATCTCGTGCACGCTCACTCGCCACGTGCACGCCCGCACTTGTCTGTACGTGCATTAGTGCCAGCACACACTGGGCCCTGGCTGCTGAGGCTGACATCTGACTCCAGAGGGGCCAGCTGGTCTTTCTAGGAGGCTTAACGGTGAATTATCATCCTTCACTAACCCCGCAGCACACAGCCCTCCCTCACTCTTTCCAAAACTGTGGTGCACACACACAGACACAGGCTCCCGCTCTCTGTCCATGCTCTGGTCTGCTTGTTCTGTTCTGGCTCTTCCCTCTCTGTCCCTCTCTGTGAATGCCCCCCTCCTCTGGGCTCAGTCAAAGACTTCAAGGCCAAAGTCAGATGGTCATTAAGCGTGACACCCCCGCCCCCGCACAGCCATGCACATGGACAGGGCTTGTTTTGGATAAAGATACTTGCTGTTGGACACATTTCTTTTAGGCAGAAGTACCCGGCTGTGGCTGGATTCTGCAGACACCTGCCTCACAGGGCAGTAGAGCAAGAGGACTCTCTGGACTGAACTGAAACATCTGAGCAATTGTCATAACGATATATACATCGATATGCATTGATGTATTTTGACATGAGCTGTGAAATTTAAGTGATGCTCTAACTAGGTGCAACATAAAGACATTACTTCTTCTATATTATCATATTGCAAATCAGCAAATTGTAATGAAATATCAATCACAGACTTCTATACCGAACAGTACTGTAATTGTCCATGTATGTAATGTAATGTATCAGTAGTATATTGCATAGACAGAATTCAAGATGTATTTTAGATCTAAAATACTGTGTTAGGATTTGCAATTTAACCGAGGGCATTAAGACTGTAGAAAAAGCTGAATAATTAAACCAGAGCCTTTCAGACTATGCTGTTTAGTTAGCAGGTTTGTGACATAATAAAACCCCATGGAGACAGGATATTCTGTTACTTGCAGAAGGCAGGAGAGGCTCTTTCTCTGTCTATCTGTCTGTCTGTCTCATATGAATATTGTTCAGCTTAAAGGACATCCTGGTGCAGATTAGTTGGTGGCAGGTTGTATACATTTTAATAATGGAATTAGTGAACAAGGTAATCTCAAAGCAGCTGTGGATCCTAAATGCATGTTTCATTCTCAATGTTTTTCATTACATTTCCTTAAAGCATGTTTTAATTACAGAGTAATCTTCTGTGTAGATCATGCCAGTCTTTAATTTATTGAGTAGACGCCTGTTTACAAATGGTGCATTAAATATGAATGTGTAATTAGTCCATTATCTTTAGACGTGGGTTTTCACAACTAAACATGGTTTTAATAAGCCTTATCTGGAGCGCAGGCTTCAGGGGGCCATGGGAATGTGTGTGTGATGCTTTCAGCCTTTTCTCAAACACAGAGTGGCATCAGGTTAGATTCAACAAAAGGATGTTTTGCATTAGCCTGCGGTGAATAGCAATACATTTAATACATTTTATCAGACTGATAAGAGTGTACACAACTTAAGAGCTGTGTGGGCTGATCTGACATTAAGTACTGCATTACTACAATAAAGTAACATAATAATTATCTTATGGGCACCTATTTCTCAAAGCTGGACAATTGTACTTAGGCTACATGGCAGTATATATTACATTATTATAGTAAAATTATTGTGTTTAAGTTTGCAAATGTAGATGTTAACAGCAGTAAGAGTCAGAGATGAGACGTGAAATTAGCTGTAGGAATAATCATAGTACTGGTAGCCTACTTTCCAGAGTTCTAAAACGTGCAATATATCAAATCTAAATGAACACATTTGCCATAGCAATAAGCCTCAAGATGCAGGAGTGATCTTTTGTATCCCATGTTAAGCCTTCACACAATATTAATGTATCATGTATTCTGGCTGTGTTAGATCATAGCTAGCTCGATACCAATTAAGTGACTTTCCTATGCTTCCAGAAAATCTATATGCAGTTTATGTGTGTGTGGGGGACCAAGACACCAGTTCTTTATACCTCTACCTTTGCCTGGGATAATAGCACTATTTTTCATCTTTTCATGCCGCTCCTTTTATACACGTCCATTTGAGATTTTCACCTACGAGTATACACCGGCATTTTCCTTCTTTTTCTATTTGTAGTCCATTTTCCTGCTGTATTTTTAGACAAATCCGCATCCCAAAGCCCTAGATATGTACCACTGTATCAGAAGACTCACCTGCCAGTCATTTTGGCTTCAATGTAAGTCAGGAGCGGCACCATTAAAGACACCAGGCTTACTTTTAATAGCTGTGTATCAGGGTGGCTTTTAAGTAATCCTGCCACATGCCCCTTTCTGAGCAATAATGAATAGGTCTTCTTCAGAGTCAATGGAAACAGCAGGCAACAGTGAAGTCTTCTCTGCTTTGGTAAGTCTCAATGAAAAGAAGTGATAGTTGTAATAACTGCTTTGTACAGATGTTAGTGAAGTTAAACCTGGTGTTGAACTATGTTAGGGGTCTGGGATGGGCAATGTGGACAGGGCTGGCAAACCGCACTGACTAAAGCAATGAAACATGGGGCATAAAGAAAGAGAGAAGAGATGCCTTTTAGTGCACTTTTTTAGTGAATCGGCAATCGACCTCAAATCTTCAGCACAGTGTTTTGTTTTGTTTTGGCATACCTCCTGCCTAAGAGTACACTCAAGCTTTATTTGAAAACTTGAATGCAAATAGATAACTGCTCAAAATGAGACTGCATAGCCCTCTTGAAGGTTTGTGGAAAAAATGACCGTAGGTGAGTTTGGCGTTATTTTAAATGACATAATCTGGCAAAAATAATTAAAATCTGCCCTACATATCAGCCCAAAAATATCGTCAGAGTTTATCGGCCATCCTTTTCTCTAAATTCTAAACAATTGCTATAGGTATTGGCCATGAAAAAACATTTTGTTCGATCTCTAAAGAAAACTATTTACATGATACAGTATATGTTGTGTCTAAATATATAATATAGGTTGATAAATTTGATAAATCCATCACAAACTAAATTATTATAATGAATTTTGGATTTGCTTGGCTCTAAAACTTTATTTTAATCATTTGGGACATTTAAGAATCAAGCATTGCAATGACCAAATGCGTAATGACGTACAAATACATATATACACTAAACAGTGCCAAACACTGTGCCCATATAAATGAAGAGGGTTGAGAGAGGAAAGGCATCTGTCGCAGGCCCAATATGTAACAAAACTTCGAAGCTGATATTTTGCTGACTTGAGAAAGAAAAAATCTGCAAGTCTTTTAGGAGGTATGCTAAATAAATGTCAGTTTCTTCCATTCGAATAAAAATCACTATTTCTACATTTTAATTAAATTTGCGCCCCAAACCTCCAAAGGGGCATGTAGGAAATGGCTTGAGACTGGCGTAGCATTGTGTAGAGTGCATGTAAAGTGTGAAAACAAAAAAAGGTTTGAAAAAAGGCAGAGTGAGGAGTGAAAGAAGACAAGGGAGGGCGGCGCAGCTGGTGGCAGCCAGAGCACCATCTGTTCAACACTCTATTAGTTCACACACAAATACAGCACACTCAGACATACAGCTCTCATTCCACTGCTTCTTATGGTCCTTCTGTATTGTCTCTGTAACAACTCTGTGTCACTCTGGTACTAGGGACTTCCACATAAACCACTGTATTATAATCATGATCATTCAGCTGCATAAAGGTGCATTGTGTAACTTTTCTGGTGGAGGGTCCGTCCAATTCTTTTCTCCGTGGAGATATTGACGCTTTGTCTGTTTCATAGTATGATAAAACCAGACTAAGATACAGGTCAGTGGACTGTTTAAAGTCATATTGTGGAACATTCCAGGCAGAGCAATGACATCTCCATAGGAATAAGAAGGTGATCCTCTACCAGAAAAGTTACACAATGCACCTTTAAGTTAACAGAAACAAAAGCTGAAGTTTTCCACTAACTTTCTCTGTCACTGTTCCTGTATCCTCTATCACTGACTCTCATCAATCATGTAGCTAAGCTCATATAGAAAGAAATCTAAGCAATTGCATATATTATTTTGAAGGCTAGAGATGAAGACCAAATATTACCATAGTGATCAATGTAATGTGGATTTCAGATTATTCCAACTAGGGGTGTGCAAAAATATTGATATATCATGATACCAAATTTGCTGATACAGTACTATTATTGTGTGGGCTGCTGTATTGATATACACTACATGAGTAGTTTTTTTGTATGTTTTAGCAATTTTTTTGTGATCACACTACAGTTTTGTTGTTCATTTAATAGAAGGAAAATTGTTTATGCATGCAATTGACATATTCACTGTTTTGATGATGGATATCATTTTAACTTTGCACAAGTAGTGGTTTAACAAAGAAATATTGTTACTAAATTAGTATTTGGTTCTTGTAAAACAGCAATATATCACAGAGATTTTATGTGTGATATACTGCTTATCGCAGGTATCACCATATCGTAATAATATCATATCATGAGCCATGTATTGTTTATTGTATCAAATCGTGAGGGGACAAGTGATTCCCAGCTCTAATTCCAACTGCATCACACTAATATTGCAGAACAAAACCATATTATAACATTTCAAAGGCATTTCAAACAACTTTGCAACTCTAAATATAGTCAGGCATTTAGTAAATCCTACTGAAAGTCACCGTAAGCCCATACAAACCCATATAGTGGGCTGTGTCACTTTAACACACTGAAGTCCCCCCTGAAGTAACTTCCAACGGTCATGCATGTCCAATACAATACAGTGGAAATGATTAATGATGAATACATTATCATTATTAGGGGCCCGGTACTTCAAAGACATCACGCAAGGGCTTACTACTGTGTGGAGGACCAGGAAGTAGGAGGAAAAATGGGATGGGCTGGTTAACAAATGCACCTGGCTTTATGTAACAAATAACTAAAAGCTACTAAACAAAAATGGCAACAACTATTTTATAATAATTTAAATCACAGAATTTCCTGTTAGAAGTATTTCTGTAATTAACTGGACAACTGTATATTGTTCATTAACCTATCCATAATTTTCAGACTGATGAAAAGCAGGACCGCTGCCATAGCAATTAACACAATATTCTCTCTTTTTAATGTTTTGAGTTTGACTTTCTTTCTTGCAAAGCAGGGTTTTTATGCAGTTATACAGTTAAATAGCTACACACATATAATTGAAGGCAGTTCACAATTTCTTAATAATAGAATATGAAAATGTGAAGAGCTTCCTCTGTTTGTAAGATTAAGATTGTGATCATCCAGTCTGTGCAAAATAAAATTTAGGTTTTATTTTTTGGCCATATCGCCCAACGCTAGGCAAAGTAAAAAATTAAGGAAATAAAGGACGTGGTATTGATATAATATTAGTTGCTAAAGTTAAAATGTACAAATAAAGTTCAGACTTCATGATCCTGAAAGTCACTCACCATACATCTTGCCTTCGTCTGACAGTATGATCTTCCTCCGTCCACAGGGGGGGTAGATGGCCAACGCCTCCTGAAAGCTTTGCTCGATATCGGGGCTCCACACTCCCTCCGGGTCCCCGTCCATGGTCTTGTCTCCTCCAGAGTCACTGAGTCTGTCCATGTCCTCACCTGGACTCTCACTGCCGCTCCAGCTGCTGCGCTCCATGCTGGCTGCTAACAGGTGCTAACAGTAAGATAGTAAGTGTCTATTTCAGATCCAAAGGGAAACGCAGGGGGGCATTCAGGACGAGGGCAGAACAGACGAAGGCGGTGGGTTTGTCCAGCAGATGTGGTCAGAAGAACACTTTCCAAACGTCTGAAAATCTGAAATGAAACAGAATACACAATAAGCACTGTAATTTAGCTCTATCAGTTTACAAATGTGTTACAGCGTTGGATTGAAAAGTAAGACATCTCCTGGGGCATTTGATTCATTTTTCTTTTACTACCCATCTCAAGATTGTACCTTTGGCTATCTAGGCCTGTCATGATAATTACTTTATCAACCTATAGTACATTTTTGGTTATGTTTTTGGCTATACAATATGATTTGAGCTGTAGAAGGTTGAATTAATAATTTGTATGACTCATTACAGATGCAAACTAAGTATTAAAGAGTTTCATTCTGGTGTTTATTTATTGCAGCTCATTACTTTTTAACAATATTGTAGATTTAGAAAAGGTTTTGTGGTTTAAATCTGCTCTTGGATGCATCAGTGGCATAAATTAGTTTCAATATTATCGTTTAAAGTCTGTAATTTCTTCTATCATGCTTAAAAAAAATTTTTGTTTTTTTCTTTCCCCATTACTAAGAAGTGAAATAACTACCACAAATCTCCCAAACAGTTAACCATTTATCATTGTTTTTCACTCCAGCCAATGTGACGCCTCATTTCAGGTATTGTTTTGTGTATTTCCCTTGTAGATTTTTAACTTAGCATCAATTATACCTGGTTACCAACCACCACATGGAAATCTTGCTTCTTTTCATGTAGAAAATTGCCTGTTTTTAAAGCCATGTGATAGCAGTGCTACATCTCATCCACATAAGAGCAGCCATGGAGCACTACTACACGTGTGTACAAGCGGACAGAAAATGGAAAAGGCTGAAGGGTTTGCCAGCTGCTGACAATTCTTGTAAAATCCCCCACGGTAAACAGCAGGGCCGGAGTGGCACAAACACGCGGAGTTACTGTGCCAGCTCCTTGGGCGAACACATGTCATTTTGTCTGCTCGTCTACAGTTCACACTTCCCGTGGACAGTCCGCCAAGCCCCTGCTCTCACTGTGGAGATGTAAGCCTCATTTTTACACTCTCGCACCACAACCCAGGCATGTAAATTAGCAGGCAGATTTTTGGACACATTTAAACCTTGTTCCAGCAGCACAGCAAATAGTGAGTGAGCCAATGACTCACAATCGCATGGATCTGTTGCTTGGACCGAGGCTTGCCCTGTGCTTGTTCTATTCCTTTTCCGTTTCCTCTGCTGGCAGCTTTTTCCTTTCAAGCTGAGAGTCATTTGCCCAACACAGAGAACCACCTTCAAGACTGGGTTTTTCCTGCTCCACAAAGACATCCATAATAATAAAGTAGAAAAGATGTAAAGAGTGATTTCTACATGTTTTATGTTTCACACACTAAACATACATCTTAACTTAAAGGTGAACTGTGTAACTGTTCTGGAGGGTCCAAAATCTGGAGATATTTTGTGGATGTTCCACAGTATGGCATTACATGTATTTATCTCCACAGAAACAGCAGGTGACATCATCGTATGTGCATGTAGACAAGCTAGTGGCAGACCCTCCACAGTTACACTGCACACCTTTAAGACAAATGTTTATGTTCAAGTGCAAGTTGCCTTTGCGCAGTATACTTTATTTGAAATGTTTTTTGAATCACGGTTCTTTAGGTTTTTCACACATTGTTTCTTATTTATTTATTTATTTACTACAGTGACTCATTGTACATTCTTTTACCCTGACGTTGTGTTCGTTGATATTGCTTATTTCTCCAGTTGAGTCAAAGTCTCAAAGACCTCTCCCAGAGCAAAAGTTGGCACACCAACAATGAATGTCACAATCAAGGCTAAATGTTTTTTTCACATTTAATTAAAGAAGGTAAGAAAGCTATTGGTAAAATTTTAGAATTTAGATAAAATACCCAATTGAGTGTTATCAGTTATTAATGATTTTAACACTGTGTAAGTTGTGTGATCCTCTGTGTTTTGTTGTTATTGTTTTTTTAATATAGTTTTTGTCTATTTTATTCTTTTTAGTATGAGTGTAACGGTACACGTATTCATGCCAAACCGTATAGGACGCTTGGTTCAGTGTAGGGCAGTGCACAAGTGAATTCACGCAATTTGTGTGTGTTTACATTCCACCACTACATGTGCAGCTACACGGAAGGCTCGGTTCTTTAATATTCACAAGGAAACTAGTCCATGATTGGGGTGGCAGTGTTTCCCACAGTGCTTTATAGTTAGGGCGGCCGCCTTGACAACAATTGTCCCCCCCCCACCTTGACTATGCCCCTCCGAACCACTTGAATCCTTGCAAAACTACGGTTGTCGCGCCCCGGTCCTCACACTCGCCTTTCACCAGCACGGAATCTCCGCCCCCCCTCCCCCAAAACCCGCGACCTCTGGCCCTAGCCAAAGGGTATTTTCAACCACTGGGGACATTGTAACTGCCAGCAGATCTGCACTTACTGCAGACAATGTGGTTTTTCTGGCCAAAAATATGAAGATTGAGTAAGACTTCATCCTGGTTAGTGCTGCACTTTACTTTTGAAAAAGTTTTGTTTACTGTTTACAAGGAATTTATTTTTTATAATATTTAATACATTTGTTGCTTCTTTGAGAATATTGTATTTAACTTATTAGTATTACCAAGCAGCACTTTGCATTTATTTTATTTTCCCGTTTGTATAATGTTAAAACAAACTGCTGGTTTAATAAACACACAAATAAACAACATGCAAATGGTTTTGCATTTTGTTCCCATACTGTAACGAAAATGAACCGAACCGTGACCTCAAAACCGAGCTACATACCAAACTGTGGTTTTTGTGTACCGTTACACCCCTGCTTTTTAGTAATCCTTTTATTTATTGACTTTTTTATCTATTGTTTTTTTTTTTTTGTTAATTTTGTCCAGAACATAATTCTGCAGAGTTAAATGTTTTACATTGTTATGTGTAGCACTCTGGAAACGGTCTTGTTTATAAAATGTACTACACTGATAAAGATGAATTGGAATGTCTAATATCAAATTAGAAATTTAAATAGAAATCTTCAAGGACTAGCTACACTTGTATGGAATAGAAAACAAACTAAAAACAGAACAGCTGTTGCTGTATGTATTACTGTATTCTTCCTTTTATATCACACATCAGATGCACAATACATATATGTATACATATTAATGTATATATGTTGGTAATGGTAAGACTTACATGTATTTGTCTGCCTCCTAATGTTAGAGCCTTGGCAGGAGTCTGTGCTGAAACATTAGTGACCTCCCATGTACAAGATGTGAATTCCCGCAGTCTCTTTTCTATCTGCAGAAGCGCTACCGCACCATTTATTAATCAAGGTGAAACATCTTTCATGCACTAAACTTTGCCGGCGATGGCTATTATACTGAAGCGCTCTGCATGGGCCTGCAATAAAATGGTGAATACTGTAGGGCTACACAATGGCATTCATAAAAGACGATAAACTTGAACTTTAAATATCACAGCCATATTAAATTGAATGGCCATAAGCAAACAGAGACTAACCTTCGTTCTGATATGATTTTATAAGATTTTAGATGGCACAACGCATGTACAAGAGATAAGTAATGTGTTCATATGTATGACTAGGTCTATGTGGACACACTGGAGTAAACCACTGGACCCTGGTCATGACTATTTCTCATCTAGAGCATAATTAGACCTAACTCACTGTGGATAATAACTTTTATATAACAAATTTTACAATATTTTATAGATAATTACTATTAACTTTTAATTATTGTTACAATTAATTTATAATTCAGTATGGCAAATTACACAAGAAGCTAATTGAATTGACATGTAGGTCTGTCATGATAAATACTGTATTGTTCAATATATGAAATGATAGATGATAGAACAATATCAGTATTTATTGTGAGTGCATTTTCTTTGCACTACTGGAATTTCTTGGTTATTTTTTGGCTAAATGATCAGATCTAAGCCATAAAAGGTTGAATAAATAACTTCTATGACTCATTACAGATACAAACTATATTAAAGTGTTTCATTCAGCTTTGTATTTCTTTATTGAAGTTCATGGTTTTTAACAATATTGTAGATTTAGAATAGTTTTTGTGGTTTAAATCTGTTATTGTTATTGTGTCAGTGGCTATATTTACTTTAGCAATATGTCTTTCTTTAAAATGTGTTATCGTGCCTAATGACATGACCGGAAAAAAATTTGTCATGCAATATTGTCCTGAAAAATATCATGTCGTCAGTGCAAAGCAAATTAAGAAACTACTACACCTACAATCTCAACAAACTCTGAGCTGTTTCCTGTTTCTCTCACAGCCCACAGCAGATGGACGCTGGAGACGCATTAGTCACACGGGCATCAGCTCTGTGGACTGCAGGGGTGGGCTACAGCCGTGCCCCTGGTGCCCCTCTCCACTCTCTCACCCCCTCCCCTACCCCCACCACTCTCTGTGAGGCCCGGGACCCTCCAGCCAGGACAGCAGGCTCGGCGGCGGCGGTGCCAGCCCCAAGAGAGGCCACTCAGGGCAGGTCGCCACAGTCCGGCAGCTGCCCTGGACTCCACGGCTGTGTGTGTGTGTGTGTGAGGTGCTTTTCTTCATGTGCCACTGCTCTCTCACATGCCCTTCACTCATGCCAGCTACATACAGGGGTTCTCTGTATTGAAGTCTTGAGCTGAAGTCGAAATTCAACCTGAAGATTGAATTTCGAACCTTGTTTTGCATAACCAGGCTGTCTCAATCATCTCTTAAAAATGCACAAAGTAACTTTTCGGGTGTGTGGTCCCACTGGAGATTTTATTACGTTGAATGTTAGACAGTTTGCCATTTTCTGTCAATCTTTCTATATTTTCTATCTTGCATCATCATCATCAATTATTTTAAGTTTTTTTTTTTTTTGCTAAAATAAAACAAAACAAAATTTAAAAAAAAAAAAAAACGAAGCACTGAAAAACAAGCATTCTCTCTAGCATTCTCCACAGATCTGAACATGTAACTTGACCTTTTTAACTTGAAATACTGATGTTAAATGCCATACTGTGGAACATCCTAGGCAAAGCAATC